TCTATCTTGACATGGCCACTTGGTATTTGGTGATTCCGAGTTGACCATTAAGCATATCTCCGGTGCTTCTTCATAGGTCTTTTCAAGGATCTTCCACATTTGTGCGACGAGTTTGACAATGTGCAATCCTAAAAAAATCATTTACGTTAAGAAGCGAGAAGAGATGATATTTTTGGCAATACAATCATCTTGAATTACGTTAGCAATATCAGTTTCTGTTCAATAACATTCCAAGCATTTATACTAACAGATTCAATGAAGATTTTCATTCTTAGTTTCAGAATAGATAATCTGTTCCACACAACAGATGGAGGTCTATCAATGTACGCTCCCTCGGAAAATGCCATGGATCGAAGTAACTTGATTAACTTTCAAGCACCTCGCTCGATGCCAATTGTTAGAAAAGTAGTTTTAAATCAAGAGGGGGTGAATTGATTTTTGAAAGTTTTCGCAATACACAGATTATCTAATTCGAAAATTAAGATTACTTATCAATTCACAAATCACAAAGCAATCAAACAGTTTAAGTGCAAGCAGCAGAAATTAAAGAGAGAAAGGTTAGGAAAGATTTCACCGGTAATTTTATACTTGGTTCACCCAATACCAGGGCTACGTCCGGACTCCAGCCAAATTCCAGTTGGGTTCCACTAGAATAGATGTTTTACGAGACTCACCCTCTTACACCTATTCTAACTCTCCACCAAGAACCAAATTCCAGCTCTTGGAAACCTCTGCAACCAAATTCCGACCGAGAGAACCCGAGTGCCCAAATTCCAGGCACCACACACAAGAACCAAATTCCAGCTCTTGCTTTAACCTTTCCACCAAGAACCAAATTCCAGTTCTTGGCAACTTTCTACAACATTGCAGAAAACTTGTACCCAAATTCCAGGTACAAAACAAGTACAAATGAATGAATAGAAATTTAAAAGAAGAAACAAAGAAAGCTCAAACCGGATTACACCAATCCACGATCGGTTTCTTCTTCAAAGAAATGCAAAGTGCCTCAAGAAAGATTTCAAAAGAAGTTCACAAAAGCAGTTGTGTATCTTTCTTGAAAAATGCTAATAGTTGCTTGTATTGATTGCTTGAATTGTGTAAAAGCTGATATGTGATCTCTATCTCAAAGTTTCAAGCAAATCTGTTTATAAAAGAGTATTTTCAAATCTGCTGCATTAATTAATCTGTTGAAAGTTTGTTTTAATCTGTTGAAATAGCCGTTACAATCTGTTAAAAGTCCTTTCAACCCATTAATGCGTTCATGATCTTTAACGAGAAAATGTTTTAGTTGATACTGACCACGTTTTTATCAGTTAAAACGTTTTACAAACATTTTCTAAGTATAAAACAATCGATTGAATCACGTATTAATCGATTGATTTGTTTAAAAACCTTCTTATAAAACTTTCCAAGTTATTTTAGGCTGATATAAAGTCGTTTCAATCGATTGAAAATCTGCACATATATTTTCAAGTCATTTTAATCGATTGAAAGTTTGTTTTAATCGATTGAAAAGATTTTCTAAGTTATTTTAATCGATTGAAATACGTTTTAATCGATTGAAACAGATCTGATCGGTCATAATTCAATTCTGATCGATCATATCCAACTACGATCGGTCATAATCTCATTCTGATCGATCATCCTGACATCCAAAGTAATTTTAATCGATTGAAACGTGTTTTAATCGATTAAAATAGTTCTGATCGCTCATATTTAAGATCTGATCGATTATAATGCATTCTGACCTATTATATTCGAATTCTAATCGGTCATAAAGTGTTTTAATCGATTAAAAGGTTTTTGTATCAATTAAAATGCTGTGAAAACACTTCTATAAACATTCTAAGTGTTTTAAACGTTTCTTTAAAAGCAATATCAGTTAAAAACATTATTAAGAAAGTTCTTTGTCAAAATGCTTTTGTTTTTGATTTGTTTAAAACTATTTTTGAGGCATTTTGCAAGATGAGTGAAGAAGCTTTATGCAGTGGAAAAGGTAAAGTGGTTTTACCTAAGCTTTCTGTTAAGACACACTAAGTCTTCAGCTCCATTCTTCTGAGTGACTTGTTTGACTGCTGCAGAGTTGACCCTTGACTTTATCTTTGACTTCATCAAATCAATGAGATCTTTGCTAGGATCACTTTCAACCATCTGCATCATCCCTTGGCCCTTGGAGAAAAACCTTGTCCTTAAGCTTAAAAGTTTGTTTGAAATCTGCCCAAGACTCCCAGGTTTCCTTTTCAGGAGAAAGTCTCGTCCACTGTACCAAAACTTGGGTTATCAATGGATCAACATAATTATCTTCTTGATGATTCAAAATGACTAATGGGATTAACAATGATCCATTTTTATGAGTTTTTGCAGGAAGAGTGCCGATTTCTGTAGGTGGATTTCCAACATCTGGTTTCAAAGCATAACAGTGAAAACCTAGATATATTTGGGATGTGTGGGTAAAGCCAACTCATATTCTACAACTCTGATGCGATAGATAATCTGGAAAGGACCAAAGTAACGCTTGGCTAGCTTGTGGGGAGTGTGACCAGCCACAAAAGTCTAGCGATAAGACGATATTACGTCAAATTGGACATCACGACAATGGTTATCCGCTAACATCTTCATGTGCTCTCGAGACTTGTGTAAATTCCTGGGTAGCTTATAACATAGCATCACAAGAGCTCAACATTTCTTCTACTGTCTTAATTGGGGATTGCCCAAATAAGTATCCCGATAATGAAGGAGGAACACAATCATACACGATCTCAAAAGGGGTGAAGCTTGTAGCTGAATGGACCGAAGTGTTGTAACACCATTCCGCCATGGTATGTAGTGACTCCATTGAGCAGTTTGATGGTAGCAAAAAGCCTGTAAGTATTGCTCGAGTGTATGATTGAGCATTTTAGATCGACCATCCGTTTCTAGGTGATAAGCAGAAGACATGTGAAGTTGAGTACCATAAGCTTGAATAGTTTCTGCCAAAATTTGCTTAAAAATAGGGGATCACGATCTGAAATAATACTCTTAGGCATTCCATAAGTTTAGCCACCAAATTGATGAATTAAAGGCTCACTTGGTAAGCAGAATATTGAGTGGGCAGAGAGCCGAAATGGACAACTTTATAAAAGCGATTGACAACTACCAAAATAGTATCCATCGGATGGAGAGAGGTTGGTGATGAAATCCATGGGCAACTCTTCCCACACACAAGTGGGTGGTACAATAGGTTGGAGAAGTCCTACTGGTTTTCAAGGGCTATACTTAATTTGTTAACAAATCACTCATCTACGATAAAATCCTTGACATCGCTTGCTAGACAAATTATTATAAATTAATCTAATTATAATTAAATAAAAAAATATTTAATTTTTTAATTAAGTGAATAATTAATTTATTATACTATATTTAAAATTAAGTAATTATTATATAATTTTAAATATTTAATTTTTTTAATTTAATGTTAATTTTTAAAAATATACTTTAAATTAGATCGATAATATTCGATCGAGTAACTAATTGTTAATTTACTGACGGATATATTCGTTGATAACTAATTGTTCATTTGCCATAATTGTTAATTTACCGACGGATATATCCGTTGATAATTAATTGTTCATTTATCGACGGATTTACCGATGGATATATCCGTCGATAATTAATTGTTCATTACCGACGGATATATACCGACAGATATATCCGTCGATAAGACCAAATTCCACAACTACTTTAAATCCATCGGTAATTAATCATTTTTTGACAGCTACATATCCGTTGGTAAATATCCGTCAGTAATTAATGATTTTCCTGTAATGGTACAAAAGGTATCATGTGGTCTATTGGACGTGGAAGCGAAGTGGGTTCCTCAAAAAAGACTTGGTAGTGTCGGAGTAAGGAAGATATATATAGGTGGATAGAATTGGAGATGGATGTGGGTTTTGTAGGGATAGGCGACGTTAGAGAAAGGTGGTAGCATTTTGAGATTTGTCCCTAGTGTGATAGTCGGTGTAGTTGATGGATTGAAATGGCCATGGGTTCATGTTGCGTATATCCTAAAAGCTTCACCATTTTTACATCCCACATAAATTGCATAGTAAGCTACTCATAATCGGTTAACACTGAGCCTAAACCTTGTAACCATTGCACCCCCAAAACAGCTTCAGGCCCACTTAGATTAATCAAATATAAATCCACCAAAAAGGGTTGCTCCTGAATCACAAGAGGAACCTTAAACCTGGGAGCACGTCAAAGTATGCCCATTCCCCACTGTTACTAAAAGGGGTTTTGTTGAGTTGGTAAGAAGACCCAGTTCAATAGCCCGTGTGGGCTGCAAGAAGTTATGGGAACTCCCACTATCCACCAACACCCGAATCTTATTTGCCAAAATATGACCCGTGAATCGAACCATCTTTGGGTTGAAGTGGGCAGAAAGGACATTTAGGCTCAACTATGCAGAACTCGTAGTGTTTGACTGGGAAGACTCTGGTGGTGATGTTTCAAGGGTGGGTGGTTCATCGTCATCATGTACCAGAAGGAAAAAACGAGATTTATAGTGATGGTCAGAGTTGTATTTTTCATCACAATTATAACAAAAGCCTTTGTCACAACGAGCCTGCATGTCTGAGGCGGAGAGACGCTTATAAGGGATTGTTAGGGAGGATGGTGTGGGTAATAACGGTGGTCGCAATGTCGCGAAGGTGAGCGCAGAGTTAATATGTATGTAGGTTGGGAGGGGATTGCGTTGGAACAAAAATTTGTCTTCTTGAAGTCTTGCCAACTCCGCTGCCTCGATAAAGGTTACAAGTTAAAAACGATAACCTCGCGTTGAATGTCGGTTCGCAATCTAGATATACAATATTCGAGCATGAATGAAGAGGAACACTAGTAATACGATTGGCAAGACTCTCAAATTTTGTGAGATACTATAAAACTGAACCTCTTTGTGATAGTTTGCACAAATGACCTTTGATGTTTTGAAAACAAGAAGAGGCAAATTACGTTTCAAGGGAATGGAGAAATTCTGGCCACTCACGAAGTATATTATTGCGATCCATCCACTGGAACGAATTAAGGGCAGGACCATCCATGTAGAAGGGAAGGAGTTGAAGCTGTTCACCTTCTGGTATTTTGATGGTATTCAAACAAATGGATCACTGCAAAAACCCAATCCAAAGTGTTGGACCCATCGAATAGTGGACAATTTAAGCGATTTTTTGGCATGACTTTATGTGATGTGAACTGTGTATTTGCGGTGGGTAGTTTGGTTTGTAGGGCGATAACGTCGTGGGAAAAACACTCGTTGAGGTGAGTCACTTGCTCAATCAAAAGATCTTGAGAAACAATTGAAAGCACCATATGATAAAAGATGAGAGAAGAATTTTTGTATTCGAGGCACCAACTTCCAGATAAGAAAGTTAACAATATCATACATCTTCTAAAAATTTCTTATAATAGATATAAGCAAATCTGACCGTATAATAAATTTCCACAAAATATGAAAACGCAAACAAATATCTTAACATAAAATATTCTAATACTGCATAATTATAAAATAAACTATTTTTGTAATAAATAAATTCATTCCATCCAAGTTGTCTTCAGGTTTGTTTAAAGCTTTTCCTCGTGAGTTTGTTTTTGTTGTTTACTTAGTTCACTCACACAAATTATATTACAAATCTAAATACGTTTGTGGTTATTAGTTAAAATTAAAAGAATTCATATTATGTTTCAAAAATTTATTTCAAACTTGATAAGAAATGAATTAATCTAATAACAAATTATTTTACATTAAAACATATTAAAAAACAAAAATATTAATGAAATAGAGAATATAATCTTTATAATATGATAAATTTTCTTGAAACCAAAAATGTAAATTTAAGATAAATAAATGAGAAAAAAAATAAGAACTTAAAAATGTAAAGAAAATTGAAAAACTTTACTGAGACATATTGATTTCATTTGGAAATAGGAAGAAAATAATAGGATCCTAATAAAAGAAATTTCATTCGGTTCTGGAAATAGGAAGAAAATAATAAGATCCTAAAAAATTGTTTATGGTTGACCGGGGGAAAGGAAGTGAGAGCAGTGTGTTTGGCAGCGGAAGGACGAGACAAGGAAGTGAGAAATGGATTTGGACCAGTGGATCTCCAGGGTGAAGGATGGCCAGCACCTTCTTGAAGACGAGCTTCAACTTCTTTGCGAATATGTATGTACACACACATACACTTTCACCTTTTAGGGTTTCTCTTTCAATTGCTGCCCAACTATGTCAAATCTTAAATCAACCACATCAATCAGCTGCTTCTTTTCTGTTTCATTGATTACCCTATTTCTAAATCGGAATACCCAATATGCGTCGGAGACGATCTTTAGGGCAGGGACTGTCTCTTTCCGATTTGTGCTCTGCTTGTGTTTTATGTGCACTACTCTTACTATATTCTTTGGTTCTAGGTCTACCATTAACTTGTGCTGTGCCTTGTTGCAGCTATAGTTTTCAGTTTAAGTTTTAAATTGAACTGGCAAGTGACTATTCTCATGTCAGGTTAAAGAGATCCTTATTGAGGAGTCAAATGTGCAGCCCGTCAATAGTCCAGTGACGGTTTGTGGTGATATTCACGGCCAGTTTCATGATCTGATGAAACTTTTCCAGACTGGGGGTCATGTGCCGGAGACAAATTACATTTTTATGGTATGTATGCACGTATTATGTACTAGTACGATTTTCTTTTGGAACTGGATAGTCATTTTTACAACATATCCTTTCTTAAGTATTATATCTTCCCTAAATGTGCGGCAGGGAGACTTTGTTGATCGGGGTTACAATAGTCTTGAAGTATTCACCATCCTTTTACTTCTAAAAGCTAGGTATGTTGTTCCAATGTATGCTTGTATCTGCCTTAACTTGTTCACATGGCTTCAGTTATACTATCTTTATGTTTAAGAATAGTTTTTTTTGCTTCCTCATGAATCATGGTTGTAATTTAGTGAAGACGTTTGGATCTCAAATGTTAGAAATTAGAATTAGATTTACTGTGATTTTATAAATTCTTTTATTTATTTATTTATGCATCTTTTATTTTTGTTTGACTTCATAGATACCCAGCTAATATAACTCTTCTACGTGGAAACCATGAAAGTAGACAACTAACACAGGTATGTTTTTATTCTATCACAATGTTGTCTATTGTACATGGCATGAATTATTCTAAGCTAGTAGTAGAAAACAGATGATGCAAAAGAGAAGGTTTTTGCCCCATCTCACTTAACATACTAATTAGAATCTTACTAAGAATTTTTCTATATGATTATTTGATTAGTTCTTTGATGTTACCATGTTATTAGAACAATCACATAAATAAATCTCTAGACTTGTTGGAATTTATTTTCAGTAAATAGTGGTACAAAATGGGAGGGCTCTTCTTCTCTTTGTCATTTTAGCATATGTCAATTCTAACCTTAGAAAGTATTTGTTATATGATTATGCATGTTATCTTTAGCAATTTTAAATTTGGTCCTTCTGAAGTTTCTTGAGAAGAAATAATTATTCTAGAATAGTTTACCAACTAGGATTTTTCTGAAATTGCAATGAAGGTTAAGAGATGATTGTTTAGGTTTGAATGCAAATGAAATATAATTTTCCATGGATTGAGGTTTGGGATTGAATAAGTGAAGTGGACATCTGATTTTTGCAAGGCAAAATTTGAATTATGCTAGTTAGCCATGGTGGTTTTTGTTCATAGGTTACCCCAATTGGTTCTTGATCAGTGCATCACTATTTGACTTCACCCTTTTAGACTTAGTGAAAAATTGGCTTTGATATTGCAGGGCAACATGTATTTTCATTGCATCTGGATAGCAAGATGTATGCTTCCGTCATTGCTGTTGGAATAATGTGTAGTTCAAGTATCACATATTAAATGAGTTTAGTTTTCAGAGGCATTAATATAGAAATTACATAGTCTTTGAATACAATATTATTAAGGGTACATGTACAAATAATACAAGTTTTCTAATTATCAATGATTTGTGAACAAAAATATAATATATTCTCTTTATTCAAATTTATTTTTGAACACCATGCAAAAATAGAATTAATTGAAAAGGTATAAACCTACTTAAGATTAATAGAGAAAAAATATATCTTCAGGGCTTATAGGACCCTTCTCCCTTTCTTCTATTTATAATGGAAATCTGATACAATGAGACATAGAAGACTAAGTAAGAGACTGCAACTAGGACCCTAGGTGCAAATCTAGATACAACTGTAGGAGGTTTCCCACACTCAACACCCTATACTTAGGTCTAATGATAATACTAGGAAGTAATGATTCTAACACTCCCCCTCAAGCTGGAGCATACAAATTGTATGAACCAAGCTTGGAACAAATGAACTCAATCTGAGGTCGCCTTAATGACTTGGTCATCACATCTGCAAGTTGGTCATTTGACCCAACGAACTCAGTACAAATTTCCTTGGACATTAATTTTTCCAGAACAAAATGGCAGTCAATTTCTATGTGATTAGTCCTCTCATGAAACACCGGATTTGATGCAATGTGGAGAGTAGCTTGGTTGTCACAGTACATCTTCATGGTCTGGAATTCACAAAAATTAAGCTCCTAAAGAAATTGCTTTACCCATGAGTTCACAAGTGAGAGATGTCATTGCCCGATATTCAGCTTCAGCGGATGATCGGGCCACTACATTTTGCTTCTTACTTTTCCATGAGATAACGTTTCCTCCAAGGAAGACACAATATCCTGTAGTAGAGCGCCTGTCAATAGGGAAGTCTGCCCAATCAGCATCACAATATCCGGAGACTTAAACATTTCCTTTATCTTCGTATAGTAAACCCTGTCCAAGAGCCTTCTTGAGGTACCTTAAAATACGGATGATGGCATTCCAATGTCCAAGATATGGAGTCTGCATAAACTGACTAACCACTCCAACTACAAAAGATAGATCAGGCCTCGTAATAGTAAGATAAATTAGCTTTCCAACAAGCCTCCTATATCTCTCTGGGTTAGAGAATAATTCACCTTTTTCTGTCGTTAGCTTCTGATTTGGGTCCATAGGACTGTCTAATGGTCTATAGTCAATCATGCATGTTTCTTGTAATATATCAAGAGCATACTTCCTTTGAGAGATTACAACTCCATCTTTTAACTAAGCTACTTCAATGCCCAAGAAGTATTTGAGGCTTCCAAGATCCTTGGTTTGAAAATGTCTACACAAGTACTCCTTTAGTTGAGATATTCCAGTAGTGTCATTTCCTGTAATGACTATATCATCAACATATACTATTAGGTAAACACATTTCTTGAGAGATGTATGACAGTAAAAGACAGAATGGTCTCCTTCACTACGTCTTAGTCCAAATTTTTGAACGATGGAGCTGAATTTTCCAAACCAAGCACGTGGTGATTGCTTGAGGCCATATAGAAAACGATGCAATTTGCATATCATACTAGACTCCCCCTGAGCAACGAACCCAGGAGGTTGCTCCATGTAAACCTCTTCCTCAAGATCACCATGGAGGAAGACATTTTTTATATCCAATTGATGAAGTGGCCAGTGATGAATGACTGCCATTGCAAAGAAGAGACGAATAGTAGTCATCTTGGCCACGGGAGAGAAAGTGTCATAATAATCAAGACCATAAACCTGAGTGTATCCTTTTGCAACCAATCAAACTTTGAGTCGATCAACTTGACCATCAGGCCAACTTTAACTGCATACACACATCAGCAACCATCAGCCTTCTTACCCGATGGGAGGGACACGAGTTTCCAAGTATGACTGTGTTCAAGAGCCTGCATCTCTGCAATCATGGCTTGTCGCCATCTAGGATGATCAAGTGCTTCATTCACATTTTTGGGAATAACAACAGAAGATACTGAAGATAAAAGGGAACAATAGGAAGATGATAATCTGTGATTGCTAAGAAATTATAAATGGGATGTGGGTTTTGAGTGGAACGATTACCTTTTTTGAGAGCAATGGGCTAGCCTGAATCACCTTCACCAGGAGTTGTGGTATCAAGGGACGAGGGAGAAGCATCTGAAGTAGGAGATTTACCATGTTCTTGGAAAACGGGACTATCCGTGTGGGGGGATGAATAGGTGGAGATGATGGCTCAGGAGGACTTTGATCAAGACTTGGACCAGGATTGACAGAGACATTGGAAAGATTATACTCAACCACTGGAATAGGGAGGCCTTGTTGTATGACATGAACATCTTGAACAAATGGAGAGAAGTAAGGGGTCCGTTCAAAGAACGTGACATGGGCAGACATGTAGTATTTTTTCGTTTCAGGAGAGTAACAACGATACTCTTTCTGAAGACGGGAATAGCCCAAGAAGACACATTTGAGAGCGAGCAGAAAGCTTGTCTAACCCTGGAGACATGTCATGAACAAAACATACACAACAAAAAACACGAGGAGAAATGTGGAAAAGAGGATTATCTGGAAACAAAATGGAGAAAGGGACCTTATGATTGAGAGAGAATGATGGCATCCGATTAATAAGAAAACATGCAGTTAAGATGGTATCTCCCCAATGATGGACTGGAATATGGGCATTAAGCAAAATGGTACGAGCAGTTTCAACTGAGTGTCTATTTTTCCTTTCTGCTATACCATTTTGATGTGGAGTATGAGGACAAGTGGACTGATGCAAGATACCATGTGAACTCAAAACAACAGTAAAAGCAGATGAGAAGTACTCCTTGGCATTGTCACTTCTCAAGATTTTGATCATTTGCTCGAATTGATTATTAATTTCATTTAAAAAGGATGTGAAGATGGATAATAATTCAGAGCGATTTTTCATAAGGTAAACCCAAGTACATCTCGAAAATTCATCAATGAAAGTAACAAAATACCTAAAACCAAAAGATGAGACATGACTAGGTCTCCAGATATCAGAATGAATGATAGAAAAACTAGAATTACCTTTTGATTGAGACTTTTTAGGAAAGGCAGATCTAACATGTTTGTCTAGTTAACATGACTCACATTCTAAGGTCTAGAGACCACTAAGTTCAGGACACATTTTTTTTTTAACTTGGACAGATTAGGGTGGCCAAGCCGATCATGTAACATTTTAGGACTAGGGACTGCAACACATGACACTCGTGGATGAGATCCAAAATGATATAATCCTCCTGCTTCATATCCTTCTCCAATCTGTCTCCCCGAACCATGCTCCTGTATAACAAAAGATTTCTTATCGAAGGTTACTGAACAATTTAACATTTGAGTTATCTAGCTTAATGAAATTAAATTGAAGGGACAATTAGGGACAAAAATGATAGATTTAAGATTTAAGGAGGGAGACAGGATGACTTGACCAACTCCCTTTGAGGAAGTTTTAGAGCCATTTGCAAGGGTTATAAAATGAGGTTTGTCTTGAAATGAAATGGTTGAGAATAAGGAGGTATTACCAGAGATATGGTCAGAAGAACTGGAATCAATTACCCATGATTTGTGACTTTCCATGGATTGAGAGATGCAAGCTGTTGATGTACTTGGAGCTTGAGATGGTTGTGCCAAGCTGTTGGACTTGAGTCGTAGGTACTCTTGATATTCGTCCTTAGTGAACTTGGGTTCAGTCATTTCAGCTTGAGAGACATTAACGGTTTTGGAAGGAAAACCATGTAAGGAGTAATAGTTTTCTTGGGTGTGACCCATCCTTTTGCAATATGTGCATTGAGGACGTCCACCACCACGACGTCCGCCTCCTCTAGTTCCACGTCCTCCTTTTCCTCGAGTGGCGACCATAACAGATGGTTTTACTAGAGCAGGAGTTTCCAGAGTTCCATGTGTTGGAACACGAACCATGCGTTGGATTAAGGTGTCCATGGAAGGGACTTCATGAGAGGTCAGAAGCTGATCTATGATATGGTTGAAGTCTAGATGTATAGCGCGAAGAATCATCACCATATATTATTTGTCAAGCTTCTTCTTCATTTCATCTGAAGCGTCGACCTCCAAGAACATTCGCAGGTCTTCCACGGCTGATTATGCTTCATTCATGAAGGAGATCATATCATGGTTGGTCATTTTTAGAGATGCCAGCTTGTTTGCCAAATTTTAAAGGCGTTGGATATCGTTGGCATATATGTTTTGAGTTCTCTTCCAAAAAGAGTGACATGTCTTGGAAGCCCTAAGAGACATTAAAAGTTTTGGCTCCACAGATTGACACAACAGGGCACACAACTGAAAATTTGTTTGTTTCCACTGTTCGGCTTTTTCTTCAGGCACATGGCTTCCGTCTTTCTCAAGATGGTCATGATGTCCTTGGCCAAGGAACCACATCTCGACGATAGCGGACCAAGAGAGGTAATTTTGTCCGTTTAGCTTCTCGAAAGTAATGGAAGGACTTCTAGAGAATGAAATAGCGCTTACAGCACTTCCAGTTGCCATTTCTGATCAAGAGGACAAAAAAAAAACAGAGAGCAGATACGCGAAAACAACGAAGATTTTTGAAAGCCCTAGGGAGATGGAGCGCGTGGCGGCGCGTCGCGAGGAGTCTCCCTTCGGCAACGACAGGGATGGCTGTCGCTCGGAGAGGCGGTCCAGATCCGGTGGTTTCCGGACGAAACTGCGGCGGCTGACGGCGGTGGAAGGCGGCGGACAGCGACAGATAGTTGCTTGACAATGTTGGACAGTCCAACATAGCAGAGGATAGCTTCAGATAGTGATAAAACTGAGTGCCGCAGACAGCGGTGACTAATGGTGGACAATCGCAGACAGCGGTGACTGATGGTGGTGGACAAGACCAGACAAAAACCAGAGCGAGATCGACCCGCTCTGATACCAACTTAAGATTAATAGAGAAAAAATATATCTTCAGGGCTATAGGACCCTTCTCCCTTTCTTCTATTTATAATGGAAATATGATACAATGAGACATAGAAGACTAAGTAAGAGACTGCAACTAGGACCCTAGTGCAGATCTAGATACAGCTGCAGGAGGTTTTCTACACTCAACACCCTAGGTGCAGATCTAGATACAGCTGTAGGAGGTTTTCCACACTCAACACCCTATACTTAGATCTAATGATAATACTAGGAAGTAATGATTCTAACAAACCTGACATGTTCAAAATTTTCTTTTTCGAAGACAGAAAATATAACATAATAACAAATATTTTCTAAATCTTGGCAGTATGAAAATGAAAATTGTTTTCAAAAATTAAAATAGAAAACATTTTCTAAAACCAAACAAGCATTAATGGTGTTTTTTTTTATTCAATAAACTTTGACTTTTTTTTATTTCTGAGGGTGCACCTTGGCACAATGTTAAAGTTGTGCCTTGTGATTTGGAGATCATAGGTTCAGATCTTGGAAAACCTGCATACATCTACCCTTCTCTGACCCCATTTGGTTGGAACCTAGTGGACTGGGTTGCTGTATGTTATATATCTATGTGCCTGTTGTAATTAGGTTTCATAGTTGGACTGGATTTGTAACTATAGTAAAATTGGGATATTTTGTTCTGTTAAAAGGATTAGGATTCTATAGATTGTATAATTGATCAAGGAACTTAGGAGCTCTCATCCTGGTTTTTCCTTTTAACTTCTCTAGTAAAAAATGTCCAAATTTATGAATTTCTGATAATAAATCATATATATAAGGTTTGAATTGTGGAAGTGCTAAGATTAGAAATTAGAAATGTTGAATTCTGTCATGCCATTTTGTGTTAATATTGTAATTTTATATTTTTCTAGGTCTATGGATTTTATGATGAATGCCAGAGGAAGTATGGGAATGCTAATGCTTGGCGATATTGTACAGATGTTTTTGACTATCTTACACTTTCAGCAATTATAGATGGAACTGTAAATCACTGTTTACTCTCTCCATCAGTCCTTCTACTTTTCTTATGTGCATGTAGGCAGTGCTTGAGGTTTTTTATTTCAAACTGTGTTTGAAAAAAATAAGTCTTTTATTTGATTTGGTTGACTCAGGTTCTTTGTGTTCATGGTGGCCTCTCTCCAGACATTCGAACAATTGATCAGGTTCTCTCTCTACCTTCGTTCTCAGTGGTCAAGCTCAATATTGTCTTAGTTTAAGACTGTTCACTTAAATTTGTTACAGTAAAAAAGACAGGAATTTGACAACTTTATTTTATTAAAAAATAAAGCAAAACCAAATATGTGCTATACCAACTTGAAATGTGTTTTGGCTTCTTGCGTTTTTCAATTTCAAAAAAAGATTTGAAAATTCCCATATTAACATTGTTTATGTGAGTATGTCTATCCTCACCTTTTCTGTGTTTGGATACACAATATTTTGGAGTTGATGTTTGTATTATGATGTTCTTGTATTTTTGTTACCTATTGACTTGTACATATGGTGAAGTGTTAATTTAGATTAGGATTAAATCCATATTTGGTCCTTATAGTTTCCTGAATGTGCAATTTCGGTCACTATAAAAAATTAATTGCTCAATTGGTTCTTTAGTTTTATAAAATAAAGCAATTTTGGTCCACTGCCACTATGTTTTTCAATTTTTAACAGAAAATGTTGACATATCCGGCAATGATAACAATGTTAGTTTCTTATTGATAGAACTGCATGTTAAAAATATAAAAATTGGGAATACAAGACCCTGTCTTGTATCTTTATTGCTTTACTCCAATTCGGCTCCTACCCATGTAGTCTGCATAGAATGGTGTAGAATGTTTACAAAGAATTCTCCCAATGAGGTTGTTCAAGAGAACCTCACTCTCTGGTCTTTCTACAACTTTTTTCCCTTCCTCCCCAAAAAAACTTTGGCCTATTTAAAATAGTCCGTTACAGCTGACACACCACCCTTATGTATTGCTTCTCTTATATAATATACCTAACCTATCAATACCCCGCTCATGAAGAGCCACCTTATCCTCAAGGTGAAACTATGGAAATTCTTTACTGATAGAAGCAGTGGATTCCCAACTATTTTCTATCTCTGGAAGCTGGTGCCATTTCAAAAGAACTTCTAACTCTCCTAGAAAGTTAGTTTGTATACCAATAATTTTTCCGGAGTCACTTCAAGTATATAATCTTTAGACAACATTGGAGGCAAGGGTTGTGAAGAGTCCAATGAATGCACTGTTGGTTTGAGTAAAGAGACATGAAAAACCGGATGAATATGAATGTGTTCAGGAAGGAGTAGTCTATACGCAACTTGCCTGATGCGTTCCACAATCTGATAAGGTTCGGAAAATCTTGGACTAAGTTTTTCATAGGGTTTCTTTGCTATGGACCTAAACCAGTAAGGTTGGATTTTCAGAAAAACCCAATCCCCAACTTGATAAACCACCTCCCGCTTGTGCTTATTGGCTTCAGTACAATTTTGCTCCTGTGCTCTACATAGGTTGGACTTTGTTTCTCTTAAAATCTCATCTCGTTCTACTTGCAATTGATCCACACTCTTTACTCGTGAGGGAATAGTTGTCCCTTTCAAAATTAAAGGAGGATCGCGTCCATATAAAGATCTGGAAGGAGTCATTTTAAAGAGGCGCTACAATTTGTCCTAAACCAGAATTTTGCCTAGGATAACCAAGTTGGCCATTGCTTAGGTTGAGACCATGTCATAAGTCTTAAGACAATGGTTAACTACTACTTCTGATTGCCCAGCTGATTGTGGATGGTTGTGTTGTATCTCAATTGAGTCCCAACTTGTTTAAATAGCTCTTTCCAAAATTAACTGAGAAAAACTTGGTCTCAGTCTGAAATGATAGTCGGAGGAACAACCATGTAATTTAACAATTTCTTTCACAAATAATTGAGCCACCTGTACTGCACTTTAGTGAACATGTTTAGTGAATCTCTCCACCACAGCTAAAATAGTATATTTGCCCTTAGCTTTAGGTAAGTCTCCAATAAAATCCATTGAAATGTCAAGGCAAACTTGAGTGGGAAGTGGCAATGGGTGCAACAATCCAATCGGAGCCAAGTTCTCACTTTTATTTCGTTGGTAGATGTCACATTGCATTATGAAGGCTTTAATATCCTTCCTCATACCTTCCCAATATAAAACCCATGCAATCCTTTTGATTGCTATGAAATAACCAATATGTCCTCCCAAAGGTGATTCATGAAATTCCTTGAATATTGTAGGAATTGTAGGGTATTGTCACATTGCATTATGAAGGCTTTAATATCCTTCCTCATACCTTCCCAATATAAAACCCATGCAATCCTTTTGATTGCTATGAAATAATCAATATGTCCTCCCAAAGGTGATTCATGAAATTCCTTGATTATGGTAGGAATTGTAGGGTACTGTCGTGGTGAAACTAATTTCCCTTGATAATATAATCGCCTTTTTTTTTTTTTAATTCATACTAATCATGAGTGGTAGGATCAACAAGCAATTCTTGCATCAATGAACTCAGCTTGACATCCTTTTGAACCTCCAAATCCCAGTCCTCCCAGTTTTGAGGGTGCAAAATTGAGATATGAGTAAAGAATGCTCATCTAGATAAAGCATATGCTACTTTATTCTCCCTTCCAAGTTGGTATCATATCTCAAAATCAAACCCAATAAGTTTGAAAGCCCACTTGAATTGTTTTGATTTGTAGCAATAATAAAATGAGTACCTATCAAATAGTGTTTCCATTTGTGCACTGCTTGAACCATCGCCATCAACTCTCTTTCGTAAACAACTTTGTTTTGCCCTCTTTATGATAACGCTTGGCTCCAAAAAGCCAAAGGTTTAGCTTGTAACAAAACAACACCCAAACTTTGCTAGAAGCATCTGTTTCCACGGTAAATTGTTTGGCAAATTTGGAACAACTAATGTAGGTAACCGAGAAACAATAGCTTTAAGTGTGTCAAAAGCTAGTTGGGCCTCATCATTTCAATTGAAACCCTCTTTTTTCAACAATTGAGTTGGAGGTTTGACAATTTTGCCATAATCTTGAACAAAACGTCTATAATAACTTGTTAGTCCTAGGAATCCTCGTAAAGCTATCATATCCCTATGAATAGGCCACTTCCACATAGCCTCCACCTTCTTAGGGTCAGCGAATACTTCCTTGCTTGATATAATATGACCCAAATACTCTATACTAAACTGACAAAATCTACATTTCTTTTTGTTAACCTTCAATTTATGCTATTAAAGCACCTTTAAAACTTGCATCAAATGTTGAACATGCAATTCAATGTGGGACTATAAACTGAGATATCATTGAAAATAATCAAGACAAATTTCTTCAAGAAAGGCAGAAGAACCTCATTCATGAGTGACTGAAAAGTTGTTGGGGCATTTGTCAATCCAAATGACATTATTCATAATGACCTTCATGCGTCCTGAAAGTCGTTTTCTCAATGTCCTCTTCTTTCATAAGAATTTGGTGATATCCCCGATATCAAATCCAATTTAGAAAACATTGTAGCTCTTGCCAATTCATATAGCAATTCATCTATGACTAGTATTGGGAATTTGTTAGGAATGGTTATTTTATTGAGTGCCATGTTATCCATGCTAACCTCCATCCACCATCTTTTTTTCCGCAGCAAAATAATTGGGTTGGAATAAGGGCTAATACTAGGTTGAATGATTCCAACTTTCAACATATTATGAACCAACTTTTCAATCTCATTTTTTTTGGTAGTAAGAGTATTTGTAAGGTCTAAGATTTTGAATGAAAACTCACTCCGTAAGATGTATAGCGTGATCTTGTTTACTGCTAGGCAGTAGTCCGTCGAAGTCCTGAAAAACCCCTGTGGCACTAGCGCAGAACTTGCTTCTTTTGGGTCACCAATCACTGTATGATGTAATTCACCCCTTCTTATTGTTAACCTTAGTTTTTCAAAATCGGCCTTGACTTCTCCTAAACTTGCTAACCATTCCAATCCCAAAATCACATCCGCCCCTCCTATTTCAAAAGTGAAGAATTCTTATTGAATCTTCAACCCTTGTAACTCTAAAACAAACCCTGTACATTTCCCTTAACATCACACCTTGCACCCATCTTCTACCTCCACCACATAAGGAAGAGTTTCTATTGGTTCTAACCCGCACCTTATCATCAATTCTTTAGAGATGGAATTATGCGATGCCTCACAATCTAACAAGATCACAACCTTCATATCTCTAATTCTACCCCAAACCTTCCATGATTTCTTCATTGTGAGTCCTGCATGGTAAACATGGATAAAGGCATAACTCTTGCTCCTTCATCTCCCTCTTCCGTGTCCTCCTTATCATTCAAGAATCCATCATAATCCGCTATATCTTCTGTTACTAGCAGCATAATTAATTGTTTGTTTCTACAACATGGTTAGGTTCAAATTTCTCATCATATTTGAAACATAATCCTTTCCTGATCTTATCCTGCATTTATTCATCAGATAATTTTCTGAAAGTGGTTCCACCGTTGCGGTTGATCCCTTGATTCTTATTGTAAGATTGACTGTCTTAGCTAGGTCTCCTTTTCCTATGCCCATTGTGGCCAATTGATTACCTCCATCTCATGAATTGCTTATAGTAAGCCAATTTGTCCTATAACCTGTGCTTCCCTTATTCTCCGTCATTCCCCCTCCTTTGGACATAATTCTGATTTTATCATCAACCGTGAGCTTTCATCATCAATTGTGCTAGATTGGTAGGATCATATAGCTTCACTTCAACTTTAATGTCTTCTTTCAATCCATTCAAGAATATTCCAATCAGATAGTCTTGTTCTAACCCTTTTAATAGCCCTGCATATTGTTCAAATTGTTCTATGTAATTTTCTACAGTGCCTAATTGTGTTAAGGCAATCAAGATTTCAAAAGGATTCTTTAACATGGTTGAAACCTTCTTACCACCGCCATCTTAAAAGATTCCCAAGTTGAATTAGGATTACAAGATTCCCACCATTGAAACCCGATTAAAGCCTTCCCTTCCAAATCAATCATCACTTCTTGCATTCTTTTCTCATTTGATACTTCTTTCAAACGAATCACTCTAATCTATTTGTCCACCCAAAAGCTTCTTCTCGGGCAAAGATAGGAATATCCAATTTTCTCTGTAATTGACATTGTGGTTGCCGGGCTTTTTTTCCTTATCCTGCGGCTGTTCTTGTTATTATTTTGTGATCTACCATGGATTTCAAACTGCCCGACATTTTTCAACCACCACTGTAAGACCACCGATCAGATTTTCCAACCTTTGGAACCACTCGTGTTGTTCATTTTCCACCTTCTCTCTTTCACGGAGAACTTCTTGGAACATGCACTCTAATGCATGTAATCTGGATTCCATCCTGGTATTGACCATAAAACCTCTCTCTCCATGATATTTCTAAAACTTTTTTCCCCTCCTCCCCAAAAAAGACCCTGGACTATTTAAAATAGTCCGTCACAGCTGGCACACCACCCTTATTTATTTCTTCTCTTATATACTATACCACACATTACATAAAATATTGATAACAGTGTTTAATTGGATGATATATTATGTTGGACTGAAATTTCTCAATTTTGAAGACTTAGAAAACTAAATGTGCTATTATATTTTAAGGGATCCAAATTGTGCATTGGTGAAACTGTGGGGACCAAAAATGGATTTAAGCTTTTGAATTAGCTTGGTAATTCTCCTCTATGCCTCATGCTTCCCAGCTTATTCAGAAAATAAACTATCATTATTTGAACAAATTAGCAATTCTTTGTGGAACTGGATACATTTGCGTTCCCTTTTCCCTACTTTTTACTAATCAATTAATAATGTGATCTATTGTTGTTTGAATTAGAAATACTGTAGTGTTTCATATTTTATTTTGATTTATTTGTTGGGTTTAATTATTAACAGCGTAATTCTTGAAGTTACTTTTTCAGCATTACAATAAACAAGCACTTCATAGGTTGTTGGGTTTTTACTATTGTTTGCAAGGTTGTCAAACTCAGCGGTTTAAGCTAACTTGTGGTGCCTCTGTAGATTAGTAAACTCAAAAGGTTACCCAATAGAAGAAAATATTTAAAACCCTATAACCCATTGTAGTATCCAAACAGGTTTTATTGCCTTGTACATAGTCAGTATTCAACAATAGCAATGAACAAGTCAACCTCAGTACCACACAACACCACCAACAATAGCAATGAACAATCAATTGTGAAAAAGGCAGTATCACATAACTAACTAACCAGTCAACAATAGCACCACCCAATTAACCAATCAACAAAGAGAATTAACCAAACAGTGAAGAGAAGCAACAAAAAGTCCACGGATGTACAAGTTTATGCGTCTCAACCCAATTCCATCCAAGTCTACTCACCGCATTTTCTTATCAGGCTCTTAAACTCTGTTTTCCTTGGGTAGCAACATTTTTGGCCTAGTTTATAAATTGACTAGTGAGTTTGACAACCATGGCTAGTTGTTTAACTGAATTTATTTTGCTTTGTAAAGGTGAATATGACAATTAATCTTCATTTGTGACAGATAAGGGTCATTGAGAGGAATTGTGAAATTCCTCACGAGGGGCCATTTTGTGATCTGATGTGGAGTGATCCTGAAGATATTGAAACATGGGCAGTCAGTCCTCGTGGAGCTGGCTGGCTTTTTGGATCCCGGGTCACTTCTGAGGTAATGTAATTCAATAGTGAATTGCTTTTTGAATTGAAGTATTGAACATCATGTGTGAAATTTACAAGGGCATTGTTTTCCTGCAGTTCAATCACATAAACAATCTTGATCTTGTTTGTCGAGCACACCAACTTGTTCAAGAAGGTCTTAAGTATATGTTCCAGGATAAAGGCCTTGTAACTGTATGTACATGTTTCTTTTGAAAATTTTAAGATTGTTCATTCTTTTAATTAACTTTTTTATGAGGTGGTTTGATCAAGTGAGAAGATCAATAGTGGCTCTAGTGGGAAATGATCCTATTAAAAGGGGTAGAGGACACCCACATGAGGTGGCACAAGTGGTACGCAAGCCTGAGATTAGCATTTGTGGGTTGTCTACAATGTCTAGGGTGCGGACTTGCACAATAGCAATATTGGGATGGGCAGTGCCAATACCTTGAGCAAGGATTTGTCTCACATTGAAGGGTATGAGAAATTTGGATGACAAAAATAGAGATAGTGAAGTCCTAAGAAGTATTAGTTAGAAACTATCTAAGACTTTACTTAAATGGTTCTCTTGAATTCCTGGGTTTCTAATAGGATAAATTTATTTAGGCAACCGCACCTTATGGGATAAAGTTTATTTTCTATTGTATTTATGATAAGTATCTAAAACACTTCTGGAACCCATCTGAAAAGCTAGTTATTAAGGAGAGAACCAGGCACTTAAATACTCCATCGATCTAACATCCAAGTTCCTCTCCTAGCACCCCACCTAAATGCTGAATCTCGGCAGTTTTCACTTTATAGCACTTCACTCTATGACACTTTTTGTCATAACCCTCCACCGGTTAGAACTCTCTTAGGTAGTTCTTTTTGAGACATTAACAACCTTGCTTCAATACCAATTGAGTATCCGAACACTTGTGGATTTGACCCTCAAAAGCTAGCTATTAAGGGGGAGAATCAAGCATTTAAACACTCCACTGAGCATTCTATACTACTCAATGTGGGGCATCCCATAATACAAGTTCCTATCAATTTAACATTTAAAAAAAAATATAAAATACAGTGTTATTTGAGACTTATGAGGAATAGAGTAATTGATTTTAATTTTGCAGGTATGGTCTGCACCTAATTACTGTTACCGTTGTGGAAATGTAGCGTCTATTCTTAGTTTCAATGAAAATATGGTGAGTCAACTGAAACTTGTTTTATTTTTAACTGTTTTCAGCATTATCTTGGTTACTGGATCATTTTGTCTCATGATGTGATGCTTTTGTTTTATAGCTTATCTCCTATCAAGCAAGAACTTTTTAAACCACCACCTCTTTCCTTTATAAATCAAATAGTACGATTCATTCTTGTAAGACCTTCATAGTAAAGAACTTAGGACTTGAGAGATGAGGATGATACATGTCTTCTTACTAGTGATGGGGCTTTTTTTTTTTCACTCAATATTCAAATGGTGTCAGCAAATAAAATAGATAAGATAGTCCTGTCTTGATAGTTTACTTCAAATTTCAATGTCCGATTTGACTGTGAGAATAGCGAAGTCCGAAATGACATGCTCAATGCTATTATTCAGCACAAAGAACGATGTATTGAGGGATAAACTGGTTAGTCCACTACAGTTTGAATACTGATGTTTATATGTTGTGGTCAGTCACTAGTGTGCCAAAGGATAGGGGTGTCAATATGGGTTGTAACCCATGAGCCAACCTGACTCATCATGGCTTCAAGATGGGTTGGGTTAGATTTTTGTCATTTTACCGATAATGGGTTAAAAATGAATCCGGTTCCCTTAATCCACGGGTTAAGCGGGTTATGGTGGGTCACAACCCATCATTCATTGTAAATTTTAAAAATAATTATAATAATTTAGTAACCCTAATTGATATTATCTTGCCTCTTCACCTCTACTCCATGTCGCCGCGTCAAGCCAAACCCTTACTCAAGCTTATTATCAATTGTTCGCCGCACCATTGTGTTCGCCACTACACCTAGGTTGCTTGTCATCCTTCCTCTACATTACTACGTCATCGTATTTGTTGCATTTGTCATGCCACCGCGTTTAAGTTGCATCACAACGCAGTCACGTCACGTTTGTCGTGCCACAATGCCACAATGTTTCAGTCTCACATTTTAGTTGTGCCACAATGGTTGTCACGTCACCGCGTTCGCCGCATCATTGCATTTGTTGTGTCACCAAGCTATCGTGCTTTAGTTGCACTATAATTTTTGTCGTGTTTCAGTTGCGTCATAGAGTTTGTCGTGCCACTGTAACCATTATGTTTCAGTCTTGCAATTCAATTATGCTTATTAGAAAAAAAAAATTGAATAACAAAAAAATAAATGTGGGTTAGTGAGTCAACCCATCTAACTCACCAACTCGTAATAGATTGAGTCGGATTGTAAAATTTTTTGTTCACCGTAAATTAAGTCAGGTTGAAATCACTTATTTTTAGCTCAACCCATGTGAGCCGATTTGGCTCAGTTTGACACTCCTACCAACAGATAATAATGTTGAATGATTGTTATGGGCTATAAAGCACCAATGTTTCAATTTGCTTCACGTATCCATATATCCAATACATATTATGTTGGATATTTCACCAATGTATCCAAACCTATGAAACATCAATACTTTTGTTTGTTTTACAAATAATATGATATTATTTAAATGTCAAAACTTTTATATCATTTATATTCAATAAAAGTTTAAGAAACATATATCTGTGTATAAAATGGAATGATATAAATATTATTTTTCATAAACCAAAGAAAAAAATTATTCTTATGAACTATTTTAAGAAATTAATGAGAATGATAGTTTTATTCCTATGTGTAAATAATATAAAATATTTTATAATGATAATTATTTATATCTTTTATTTCTAAAATATCTACGAAATGTGATTTGAAATTTGGATTTGCATGATTGTAGTTTTATAGTATTATGTTTCATGAGTTTTTTTACATTTTTAAATACGTATCTAATACGTATCATATCCTACTTTTTTTATGATAAACGTATCGTATCTGATATACTCGTATCATATTTATACATCATAGGTTATGCGTAAGAAAAAACAATAGGGGTTATTGTCTACTTTAAGTTGTTGTTTTGCTGAGTCCAAAATATGAATACATGATGAGGTGGCAGCTGAAAGATGATATTTTATGAGCAGGATGAGTGCTTCTCTTGGTTACGGATTGGAGTTTATTGCGCCTTGTTTCAAAAATTCCTTGCATAACCTTAGGGTTGTGTGTTTAAGGTTATCATACTCGAGAGAAGTTTGCAGACTCTACTAGTGAACTCGATTCTTAGGAGTCTATTTCATATGAAAAATACCAATTTAACAAAAAATATAAGCATGATAATATCAATTCCACAATACGAAAATAAATAAGTTCATACAATGCACCAATAATATAAGTTCTTAAATAATAAGATAACAAAATAACCAAAAAACACAAATGTTATCTAGTTTATATGTCTTTCATTTAATCCTCTAATGAAATCATATCCATGATCTTCACTATCATCAAGTTCTTCCTTTGATGAGAAGTGTGCATCAACATTGACATCAAAAACTATATTATCAAATTCAAGTGCATCTAAAATTGGATCATATGAATATGATCCAACTAAGTGAACATTTCCACCATCAACTTTGCACTTGAGTTTGCTTAACCTCAATATTATCTTCCTCTTCCGTTATTCATTCATCAGCAGACTCAATGTCAACAAATGGGAGAACAATTTTTCTAAATTATTTATTTTTCAACTTCAAGTTATACATCACCTAAACCAAATCATTCATCTTTTTACTGTGCAAACAATCTTTTATTTTTGTATGAACTTATAATTGAAGAATCAATATATAAACCAAACAAAGATAATTAAAACCACAAATAATTACATAAATTTAAACTCAAATAGCAAATCTCTTCAACTTTAGAATTCCAACCCCAAGCATCTCCCACCATTCTCTAGGAAGTATAACTTCCTACAATCCTTTGCATTTTTCACATAAAAAAACTCTTTAGCATAATGAAAGTCAATGAGTTGTAAATTTATATTTTTTTCCTTTTTGCAACATCATTAACTAATATTCTCATGCGTATATACAACCTCCCTTTGACTTTTGGATCATCATTTTTAAAATTAGGTTCATGGTGCAAATGGGGATTAAGGGGTTGCTGCCTGCAAAGGCATGTAAAGTTAATTATTCCATCTCTCATCAATGATTTTCCAAACAAGTTCATAACTATAAAAATACCAATTGGACTATATTAGAAGTTGATTGGACAATTAAGTAATTGAATGTAAATGAGATAAGGTTTAAAAATTTTACCTTTCCTTATTATCAAAGTTGCACTTAATCTTCTCTTTTGCACAATCCATCTCCTCATATGAAACTCATTGCTGATTTTGTATCCGAATCCACCAATTGAAGGACCACATAAGAGGGACAATAACTTTCAAGTAGGTAGTTTACATTCTTCTAAAATTGACTATCTATTACTATCTTCTCAAATTTTCTTCCCTCCATTAATGTTCCAAACTTCGTTGTTGTCCACTATTCAGATCTAAACGTGCTTATCAAGGATATTTTCAATTCATGAAGACAAGTTAGAATCAAATAAGTAGTAACAAATCTAGTCATACTAGGTCTTATCGAGTCTATTCCTTTCTCAACATGCTAATTAGCATTGTTCTATCATAAATTTAGGTGGTAATCCTTCTTCCCTTGATAGTTACTTGGTAGACCTTCAAATGCTTCTCAAAATCTTTAAAGATTAAATCAATACAATGGGCAGTACACGGGATCCAATATTAATGCTTTCATTTCTACATCAATAATTCTCCCACTGCCTTGAATTTTGCAGCATTATTAGTAACCACATGCATTTTATTGTCTTCTTCAACAAATTTCACCTCATGATTCAATATCTTAAATACTTTATCTTCTAGTTTTTGAGATGCCTGAGGTATCCAGTGAATATATAAATACAATCCCTTTAGGACTGGTCATTAGAAAGTTACAAATTGAATGTCTTTTTTTATCTGTTCATCCATCAGACATAATAGTACTACTTGTTTTCTTCCACTTATCCCAATACTCTTGAAGGATTATACTAGTTTTTTCCACTGCTTGTTTTAAAAGTTTCTCTCCAACATCATGATAAGATGGAGGTTTATAGTTAATACCATATCTCCTAATCATCTCACATTTTTGCAAAAGTTGGATTTCTAATAACATTAAATAAAATTATAATTGAGTAGAAAAATTCAGCAACTTGAGCATCTATTTTAATTGATTTAGAGTAGCTTGAACACCACTAGATTTATTATCCTTGTTTTTATTTTTGAATATCCTACTACTACTACTTTGACTTTGTTCACTTGGTTGTTCATAGTCAATTTCCCCAATGCTATTTAACCTTCTTTTTCTTTTATAAGGCCTCCTTAGCCTATGTGACAACTTTTATTATTCAAATTTTAATTTCCTCCGGTGCCGACTCAAGGTTCAAAATCTTACCTAGTTTTTGCAAAATGATACTTGAATATAAAATTTTTTTCCATTAAATATCTTTGAAAAATAATTATATTTCACTTTTTTCCATTACCAAAACATCTACTTCATGTTTCCTACTAATATCTGTCTTATTTTCTGCTCTGCATTTTTACTTTTAGGTGGAAGTGAGGACATAGTTACATTGGCATCACAAGAATTTGAACCACTTGTAGACATTCTAAAATTTCAACCTTGATATCTAAAATAACCAAGATAAACAAACAAAAAATTAACCCAACAGCAGAACTAAACAGGTTCAGGAAAAAAAAAAAAAACCCTGTTTCTTTCTGTATTATTTCTACTGTTTTAGTGACTATGGTCGACCAAAAAGTTTTCATTGGTATTTTTTCTGGATTAGTAAGAATGCATGATCTAATGTTCCGTATTTTTGGGGTATAAACCCTTCCCAATAGGTGTCTATCACGTTTTATCAAGCAGTCCAGCTTATGATTAAATTAAGCCAACGAACGGGGTGGCCAATATACTTCATATGGACCTAAATAAGTAAAGAAATGTAGTTTTGAAGTCATTATATTCTTTTGGTGTGATTGTGGTAATTGGCCGACTGCTATTACTATT